GCATACGTGCTTCATCAAGAGTGTAACTGACGTCAGAGATATAATTCTGCTTCAATTACTTAAGTAGATGAAGAATAATGATAAATGACAATGGATAAGACCTATATCGCCATTGTACTTCATAGCTTTGGAACAGATGAGCTTTCTAAATCAGTTCATGACTCATTATGTAGCGTTGCATCCGAGCTATTCTCACAATTAATTTCATTGAAGTTCATCAACCCTCTCTGATACTGTGTCTGTTGATGTGAAGATAAATCATCTGGTATCTTTTTTAGACGAGAATGCAGTAGTAATCCAGTGAATAAAGCTCAAACTCTTAGAAAAACTACTTCTACAGTTGGACGTTAGTGCTTACAAGTTTCATAAACAAACTATGTACTGATCGGAAATTATATAGCTTTACCCATTGTGTTGATGAGATGGAAGATTCAGAAACATCTAGAGATGCCAATATTTAAGCTAACGAACTCATCTTTTGGGTAAAGAATGACCATAGATTAAACTTCAATTCTATTCGAAAACATCAAGAATTAATTATGTATCTGATAAAAAAACAGTGCAAAATTGGGTAGATAGTCATTGTCAGATTAAAAAGTTTCATGCAAAAAAAAAAGGTGTCACCCATCATAACTCTTTTTGTACTTAACCCTTTACCCCCCATTGGTCACTGGAGTGACCATTTATAGAAATGTTGCAGAATTCAAAAAAACATGGAATTGAAAAGCTTTTACGGAACTGTTTCTAGGGCATATTGTAGCCTGAATGACAGGCTTTTCGCAGATCACTTTGCCCCTACTATTGGCATTTCGGGAAGATTTATCTTCTATTTCCAATGGCTGATTTATTACGTTTTCTGAAACTTTTCTGGGGGGTAAAGGGTTAAGCTATCGAAACAGAATTATGTCTGTGGCCTTCACTCTTGACTAAGTATATGCACAAAAATTTCCAAGATTCTAACATTTATAATGACTGATATCCTCGAGGAAGAAGACTATTCTTCCCTACTATAATAGACCAATAGTGAATTGATCACAATGAAAATAGGTATCGTCATCTTAACTTGATGGAATTAGTTGATTCTTTTTATCGGTGACAAAGGAGTTTGTATAATTGAGATTGATCAGATAAACATTGAACAGAAACTTTTTTTAGGTATCAATATAAACTTTATTTTAAAAGAAAGAAAACTAAATAAACGTTTATAATTACTTTGATAATGTAATTTTTTGTTGTTTGTTCTTTTTTTTTTATTCATCGTTACATCAAAAAACAAACAAACTTTTTATTCAAATTAGAAGTCATACTCTGAAACATATTTTATCAGTATGATAGATGAATCAAATCATTTGGTCAAGCTATAATTAAATTATTTTACTTCTTTTTCAGTAAAATAATATTTGAATTATTAACTATTCCTTTGTATAATTTAAAACTGAATAGCAATCCATTGATTCTTTATTTAAAAAATAGGCCGAAAGTTTCTAGACAAAATATTTGACTATTTTTCGTATATTAAATGCATTGGAAAAGAGTGAGAAACAGTGTATTAGAATCAGAATTTTGCACACTGTTAGAATTATTCTGTGACTCTTGAGTGTGGGGCATGTAAATAAATCTTGACAGGACGCAAAAAAAAATTCTAGAGAGGTAAAAATCTTACTCTCCAAATGATAGAAGAATGGACTTTTGATTAATCTGCTAAAAGATAGCAGAGTTGTGTCCTTTACTTTTCTACGAGATTTACTACTTTGTAGAGAATTATTTCCTCTATCTTTCAATATATTCGATAAAATTCTGTGACATGTCTCTAACAAATTTAACTGAAGCTTTCTCTAAAAACCAATTTTCTGAGTCATTTCAAAATTCATTTATAACTCAATAGCCACAGAAAAATTTCAAGCATATATTCTGAAACAAAATATATTTTTGATTTTCATATGCTACTAATGCATTTAAATACGTGAAAAATAGTCAAATATTTATCTTCGCCGAAATTCGATGATTTGCACTTAGTAAATATAGTGATGTGCCAAGTTGATAACTAACTCGAGTAGGTATTTAATAAAGGCCATACCGTAATTCACATATCATAGTTGAATAGATGCTATGTATATGATAAATATTCAGAAAGAGTGAACGTAAGGAATGATCGCCAAAATGAAACTCACGAACATAGATAATCGAAAGGTGTTCGACGATCTTCATTCTGATGCACTTCACCTCAATGATCTCTATTTCGACGATGAGATATACAACCACATATTTTGTCTAGAAACTTTTGATCCGTTCCTTATATCAATTTGTTATAACTATTCGTTTATTTTAGTTCTGAATATCGTACAGATGATTGTGCACGTATTGTTCTTGATAAACTTGAACAACTTGGTTATCATGTAATTTCCATGACAGGCATTGGACAAACATGTATTTGGCTTTTACATAAAGATTAATTGAACTTTTTCTA